TATGTGTGTCTCTATGTGTGTGTCTCTATGTGTGTGTGTGTGTCTCTATGTGTGTGTGTGTGTGTGTGTCTCTATGTGTGTGTGTGTGTGTGTGTGTGTCTGTGTCTGTGTGTGTGTCTCTATGTGTGTGTGTGTGTGTGTGTCTCTATGTGTGTGTCTATGTGTGTGTGTGTGTGTACAGTCAGTTTCCGACAGTAAACCGGTGATTTTCTGCCTCCATGTGTTTCCCTCTTTAACCCGGTTAGTCACTGACCCACTTCTGCTCTGTAATCTGTTCAGGCTCCGCCCCCTCCCCGCCCTCCCCATCCCCGTCCCCCGTGTGCGGACGACATCGCCGCCTGTCGACCAATCACAGCGAGCGGCGGCCCGGCGCCGAGCGTGGGTTTGACACTCACGTTGTTCCTGAAGGAGTGGGCTCTGATGGGATCCTCGGCGGCCAGCGAGCAGCTGCTGAGGATGATGAAGACGAGGATGAGGTTGGTGAAGATGTGGTGGTGGATCAGAGTGTGACAGGCCACACGGATGCTGCCGAGCAAACACACAGACACACACTCAGAGACGACAACCTGCTGCACTACGTTTGCACACGGCTACGCAGGAGGCTGGTTCCTGCAGGACGACGCTCGTTTGTTTCACAAAAATATAAAAAAATCACCAAAAATAAAGAGTTTGCACAAACCAGATTCAGTCAAAAACAGAAAATTCTGCGCTACATGCTGCATCCAGGACGCTCTGAGTGACTCGGCTGTGACCAACAGTCACGGAGCAACAATTCTGTGACTTTCTGGCTGAACTGCAGGCAGTGTGTCTACAGAACTAAAAGCAGTCATGGAGGAATCCACCATCTCCAGAGTTAGAACACACATCGTGAGAGCACTAAAGACTTTAATGTGCTCAGACCTTTAAGCTGCAGAAAAACTCGTTTACTGATATTCAGCATTTTGCAGATTCTCATTAACTGATTGTTTATGATGTGAATGAATCGGCTGTGATGTCGTCGCTCTGAGGTCCCACAAACGTCCACATCCTAGACCTGGAAATGAAAGGGTCTCATTTATCTAAACTTGTCATAAATAAGCAAAGCTGTGCGTTTCAGCTTTGACAGCAAGATTTTTATTTGATCTAATTTCAAACATCAGCTATAAGCTCCCTCTTTCACTAATTATCAACTAATTGTTATTATTATAGCATCAGCTCTGAAACAGCACTCTGGTCGACTTCTAGTTCAGATCACAGCCGGTCGAGCTCCAGACTCGACTGGTCCTGAATTCAGTTTTTAAGTCGAAGCATCCAGGATCAGAACAGCACCAGAACGAGTCCGTAAAAGAGCTGTTCAGATGATATAAATGCAGAAACAGCTTTTAATGAAGATGTTATTTAACGATTTTACAGTTAACGTGTAAATTAAGACTTTTATTCTGTGATTTTATGAAATATTCTCTGTGATTTAACAGAACGGATAAAAACTGTAAAATTATAGGAAATGTTCTGAAAAACTAAAGTTAAAATGAAAACAAAATGGTTTTCACAGCTCCATGACGGTACCGGTCCGAGAAGCTTTAATGACATCAAAGTGAAATAAAAGAATGAAGCAGCAGCGACTCGTCAGCGACTCCTGGTTGGAAACGTTTCTGATGAGTCACTGGAACGTTTCAGGAACGTTCTACGCTCTGACACGCTCTCAGGGCAGCCGGTCGACTCACGGGTTGGTCTTGCTGAGGCAGAAGAAGGCGCTGCCCTCTGGGATCGGGAGAACCTTCTCTTTGGGCGGAGCCAGGTCGGCCATCTTTAACTGGACTCCTCCGTCTGAAGGACAAAGATGAGAGACTGGAATGAGAAGAACCGTCCTGTGTGCAGCTGAAACAGCCGCTCAGACCATCAGCTCACTTTATCAGAAGCTCTGGTTCCGTTTGCGGTCCTGAACGGACAAAACCCAGATGAAAGGATGATTCCTTAAAGGCCAGCAATGGACAGATGAACGTCTGGCGTTTAGTTCTGCTTCTCCAGCCTGATAAATGGTTTTGGTGTTTTCTTTACATTAAACACACTTTTCATGTTTGGTTTTTGGGTTTAAAGCTGAGACTGTTGCTGAATGTTGTTCATGAACAGACGGGTTGTAAACGTCGGTTCCTGATCACCAGAACCTAGAGGAGGACGTCAGTGTGTTTTATGAACTTTCTGACAGACCGACTGACCTTCATCTCCTTCAGGAAGCTCCTCCTCCTCCTCGTACTCAGTGTCTTCGTCAATGTCCACCTGCAGAGACAAACAGCAGCTCT